GGGTGCATCCGCAACTATATAAACTGTAGCACTGGGATCAGATCTTCTTATGCAGGCCATTACAAAAAATGAAAAAGAAAAAAAAAACTGGCAGTTTCCTTTCTTGGCTTTCATGATACCACACAATTCTCGTGTTTCTGTATTTCATTGGTCCTCCACCTCAGCGTCCCTTTCTGGATCCTCCTTCTTCAAATGTATAATTCTGCAGGGCTCTTGTCATGTCACTCCAAATTCTCTCAGGAGATAACCATGTGCACTGCTATCACTTTACATATGATCTATAAGCTGACAACTCCCAAATGTATCTCTGCAGCACAGACTTGTTCTCTTGGATGACTCAGAAGCATCTCAAACTTATCTGAAAGTACTCTTAATATTCCTTCTAAAACTTGTTTTCTACCACCCTTCTCCATCCATTTAAATAGCACACAATCCACCCACCTCTACAAGCCTAAAACGTGACAGTCAACCTTTATTCCATATCCAGAATATATCTAGGCTGCCAACAAAGTGATAAAAATAGCAATATGATACAGCACATAAACATGTAGATTAAACATATAGTTAACTGAAAAGGAATCCTAAATGGCCAATAAACATAAGATGCACAAATTTCACTAGTTACAGGTAAATGCAAATTAAACAATGAAATATTTCAAACTCTTATAATTGCAAAAATAAAATTTTTTATACCAAGTATTGGTAAGCACATTGAGAAATTGGAACCATCGTACATTGCTAAAGAACTATTTAGTGATATTAAGTAAAGTTGAATAGTGTGTATCCAAGATCCAGTAATTAACCCCTCTTTGGTTTGGTTTGGACATCCCTATCAGTGCCCACGGGTGTATGTATAAGAAAACTTGTAACATTGTAATAGCAAATTTGGAAACGGCCTAATATCCATCAATAGCTAAATAAATCTATATATGCAAACAAGTATTATAGAAGTTACAATGAATCAACTAGATATGAATCAATAAACAGATGTTTAAGTATATTAAATAACTAATGTTTATTATACTGTGTAAAACTGTGGTTGGATACATTTTATCATCTTCCCTGAGTATTTATTCATCTGATGTTAAGGAAACAACACAAACTGTAGCACTGGGATCAGATCTTCTCCAGTTTCCTTAATCCAACAGTCTCAACTTCCTTTATTTCTACTACAGCTCTAGCCACCCTGTAGCTATCTAGGAATTTATCAGTGAGAGTGAGGTACATCATGGTTGCTACATTCAAGATGGCCCCCAACGAGCTCTTCTTCCTGATCTTCACACCATTTTCAAGTTCCCTCTCACACTGTACTAATGCTGGTTTGTATGACCATTAGCATATGGAGAATTGATGATATGAGACTTCCCGGATTAGCTTAAAAGACATTTTGCCTTCCATCTTGCTCTCTCCCTCTCTGAGGGAAACTGACTGCCATGCTGTGAACAGCCTGATAGCAAAGCCTCTGTGATGAGAAACGGAGGCCTGCCAACAACATAGAAGTATTTGGAGCAGATCCTCCATCCTGGGTAGGATCTTAAAATGACTGCCACCTAGGACAATAGCTTGACTGCAATCTCAAGAAAGACTGAGCCAGAACCACCGAACTACACTGCCCTCAGAAACCATGGGAGAGAATAAATGCTTGTTTGGGGTGATTTGTTACACAGTGATAATTCATAAGTATGCTACATTAGATTTCGGCATCTTATCAGGGTGAAGAATGGCCTAAGCCAACGTCTTGGGAAATTCTGTTGATCTGACTGGCTACCGAGCAACACTTGTGATGTCGTCAGGATTAGAACTCTCACTAATGGGGTCTTGTAGACCATATGACGGAAAGTCCCAGATATAAAGGAACTTTTCAGGTGAGCATATCTATTTCTGCTTCCCTCGTTATGTTCCCTAACAAAGTGGATAACTTTATAAGTAATAATGATCATATTTCTAGTTATGTTGTAAAATATTTCAGCTATCAGGATGCCTATTTGAAAAAGCACTCAATATTACTTAATTCCTTTGAGTTTCCATCCAATGAGCTTGTAATGGAGACCTAGAGCAGTTTTAAGATAACAATAAATTCTTTTTTTTAGCTCCCCGAGACTACACAATGAAATATTGCATTGTTTAAAATGACTTTTAATGTTCTCTTTTGGGATTTCTTGAGAATGTTTTATTTTTATGTTCATATTCTCATAACCCTCAAATCTTCACCCCTTAATGGATTTTATTTCTCGAATTATTCAAGTGTCATTTATATCGGAGTGGGTGCTCAAAGGATAAAATTGTAATTTTTAGTTAACTTTTATAATTAATCTTTGTTAAAGAACATATACATATATAAAATATATAAATTTTATTAAAGTATCCTTTTCTGACTACACCAAAAAAAAGATAAAACTGCAGTAATAAGGATAACGTTGTTTTACCATAACTCCGATAATATCTATATCCCTCCATTCCTCCTCTACCGCTATCAGTTTAGCGTATATTATTCCAATTTTTTGCCGATTCATTTACTTGACAAGTTTGTACCACAATAAAACAGCATTGTTTTGAGGGAGTTTGTTTTTGCCTAAAAGAATGCCTAAATACAGATTGTTCTGCAACTTGCATGTGGTTCTCCACTCCAAAATACCTCCTGGGGACCTTCCCAAGTTGGTATACCATAGTATTCCATAACCGGATATTATATAGTTAATTTAGCCCTTCCTCCAGCTGAACGGTAAGTAGGTGTATTCAGCTTGATGTTTACGGGAATTCTACCACTCCTAGCTGTGATTTTAAGCAAAATATCTAACCTGTGCCTCAGTTCTTCACTTGTAAAGAAGATTCTACTCTCACCTAACCCTACGAGGTTGCACTGAAGATTAAATGAAGACATATTTACGGCCAGCTCTTTGTAACCGTTACCCCAAACCGTTATTTTCTTTGGTTAGCTCTGATCCTTTGATCTTGGCTCCGGGGAGACTTGATTCTAGCTGCCGTGCGCTGAGCGTCATCTTCCAAATCAGAGTAACCCTGAGGCCGGTGGCAGTCCCTTCCTGTGACACCCCTTGTTCTCCTGCTTTAAGGCGAGAGGATTTTCTGACGGTTGTGGCTTTCCTTTTCAACGGTTTGAGGTGAGCTGAACACATTCTCCAACTCTCTGCTCTTGGTCCACAAGCAGTTCCCTCCGTCCAGATATCCAAACCGGCCCCTCGCCATCACGCCTGGAGTCCGAGCCCTCGGCCGGGAAGTCGATGGCAGGCGGCGCAGGCACAGTCCCCGCCCTGTCGGCCTCCGCCTCGCGCTCCCAGACCCGGAGCTGCCCCGCAGCATCGCCGGCCGGCGGCAGGCCGCAGCCCAGCGTGCCCGCCAGCCCTGCGACGCTGCACTTCGGTGCCGTAGTGCTCGCCACCAAAAAGCCGGAAGCAACCCCTGGCGAAGCGGAAGTCCCGCCCTCACCTCCCGCGCGCGGCTGTAGGCAGCGGGCCCTGCCGCAGGCTCCGCCCCTTCCTTCTTCCGGGCGGGAAGAATGGACGGGTCTGGGGTGGACGCGACCCCCGCGCAGGCGCCCTGGTGGGCTGGTCTTCGGGCGGCGGAGCGGCGCGGCGCGGCGATGGGGTGGGGGGTGCTCCTCGTCCCAGCCGACTCAGGCCGGCGCTCCCCGGCGCCCTTCCCAGCCGTCCTTGAGAAAGCCAGAGGTCCCGGCTGACCCTTACACCCAGTCTCGGCCTTTTTCCCCTCCCCAGAAGTTCAGTGTCCTCCTGATCTTTGTATTGACACGAATACATTATACACATAAGCAATTTGCGGGTCAATACGTAAAATACCATGCCGTAAGACAAAAAACACAAGCTCCAAGTAATAATATGTATATTCTGTGGGGACTTG